TCATACATTTGAATTTTTTACTTAATATTATTAGGTAGTTGAATTAAATTCTGAGTTGCTACAGAACATGATGTCTTCACTGTTAAACAATGTGTTGGCTGAAGATTGTCGAAACCAATGGTCCATGTCTCGCCCATTATTGGTACTTATATTACTTTACGAAGATTTTTATCGGTAAATAAAACATAAAGATTTCAATCATGTTATTGATTTGATAATTATTTGAATAATTATTATTATTTCTTTAGCTCTTTGAAAGAAAGTATTATACGTGGACAACCCATCGAAAAGCAGCAGACGATGGCGCAGTGGTTTGAAGATTTGATGCTTGGTATTGAGCGTAATGTGTCCAGTAAAAACAAAGAAAAGTAAGAAGCAACACAATATATGCAATTTTAAACCTTAAACCATGAACCTTTATACAGTATGTATAACGTTTTTTTGAATGTATGTAAAAAGCAGATAGAGCCGTGACTGATCCCACAAAATATTTTTGATCAGGTCGATAAATCGAGTCGATTTAGTCCTGTCCGTCCATCCGTCCGAATATATAAACATAGAGATCTCAGAAGATATAAGGCTAGTTATAAGAATTTTTTTGTAAGTCCGTGTCTTGTACGCGCATTTCGAATTTGTTTAAAAAACTCATATTTTTTATCGCTCAGTTTGCCGATTATCAAAATTGCTTAAACTTTAACTAAAATTTTGATGGAGTAATTTTCTATCTGACTATTGGTTTCAGTTGGTTACTTCATTTAAGATTTAACTTGGATTATTAGTCGGGAGAGTGTTTGAATATTCAATAAATATTTTTTATCATTCTAAGGTTTACACAGAATTTATCGACTTTTCGACGAGATGTTGCTAACCTACCAAAATCAACAACATATTCGACAGGTATGTATAAAATCTTCAAAATTAAGGAAATCTACTTTTAAACTATATAAAGACGGTAAATGTAACCTAAAAACCGTGATTATGAACACGCTGATCTCAGAGGCCACGTGTATAAAAATTAAATCTCATTAAAAAAATAAAAATGGAAGTAAAAATCTCCAAAATGTATTCTTCTCTTTTTAACCCATTTAAAAAGTAAAACTAGTTGGTTTTCAAAAATTGATAACTTTTCCAGAAAGAAAACCTTTTCAAAATAGCTAGAGGTTGCGAGAAATTTTTTTATCTTTCGATTTTACATCTATCTTAGTTTGTCAAGAAATAATTTACACACTACGAAAAACTATATTTTTTAGCTTTAGATGCAAATATATAAGCCATTTATTAAAAAAAAGGTTTTTTTTTTCAATTTTAATACAAAAGTTTAATTTTAATTATAACAATTAAGAAACCTCTAGTCGAGACTGCTCGACTACGAGATCCCCTGAACCCTTCGAGCAACTGATATTTCAATAATTATTCGCACATGCACAAACACATCCACACACACAGCTATACGCACGCATAAACACGCATTGGCTGCAG